AACCGCCAGCCTTCTGGTTAGCAGTCAAGTGCCTTAGGCACTGTGCTACCAGAGCTCCTGTATAGGACATAGATCATCAAATATCCATATAACAGGAGCTTCAGGAATAGCAAACAAAAAGGAACACAGGGAGCAATATCAAAGAAATAATAGAAGAAAACTACTAAGATGTAGAAAAACCTGTTTCCAGATAGATAAGTATCACCATGTGCCATACCAAAAATCAAATTGCAATTGTATTACTTAGAAATAATGGAAAATATGAGAACTTCTCAATAAAACTAGAAATCATTGGAAAGAAAAAACAACAAACTTAAAAGTAGCCCTGTGTCATCACCGAACTTGAGAATGAAGAAAATAGATATTTCACAGGAAAAACATCAGGCTTGCTTTTGGCTTCTGATGTGCAAAAGCTTACAAGTCTGAAAGAGTATACTGACCCTGAGGAAAAATAGAACTGCAATCCAAAAATCTTAACCCCCAAGCATGATATGTCAGAGCAAAGTCTTTTTTTTTTTTTCCAAAAGTTCCAGTAGCTTATCTTCTTTGATTATTTCTAAGCCAGTTCGCTAAGGAAGAACCTAACAAAATGAAATTTAATCAGAAGAAGATCGACAGGTGTGAGAGGAATGTGAAGGAGTAGTAAACAATGAATCAGGTAAATTTATAGTTAAGTCTAAATGACGTTGATGCCATGCTCATGCATTAGAGGATATGCTGCATTACTTTAAATAGTAAGAATAAAATAACAGATTGAAAGTTAATTTTAGATGATAATAAATAAAACCCAGAAGTTGAGGTGGGGCAAAGTAAAGACTAAAGTTGTACTAAAAGTCTCAGTTTGGTCATTAACAGGAGGTAGAGTAGGAATGGAGAGGCAATAATTTGATAAAGGTATATGTTTGAGTTAACATATGTGGAAATTATGTAGAACTTTCTCAATTCCAGTATGGGGGGAAATAATGGAAAGGAATAGAAAGAGAATTCTGCAAATTAAGGCATGTCCACAAAATCTTAGTATATTCCCTAAATCAGAGATTTTTCACATCATACCCTGTGGCAATACAGTACAAAAGTTACCCAATGATTATAGATTACCAGGAAAGAAAGAGAGAATGAACCACTTGGGAAATAAACTATTTTTTTATTTGTGATTTATGTGAAAGTTTACAGAGCAAATTCTTTTTCCATTTAATAGTTCATACACATTTTGGTTTGTGACATTGATTGCAATCCCCATAATGTAACAGCTCTCTTCTTGCTTCTTCCCTGTGATTACCTTTTCCCTGTATCTTTCTTTACTATGCATTTCTCTGAGCTTTCTCCCAGGGAAAATACTGCCTTTTTGATCTCCCATGGTTGATTATTCTAAGGATTGTCCCTACCTGATGTAAATATTGAGCTCGTAGGCCTGTCTCTTGTTTGGCTGGAAGTCAACCCACAGGAGTGAGTTCATTTCCAGGCCTGAAGGTGACTTGGGGCCACAGGCTCAGGGATTTCACCAGTCTCTGTCAGACCAATAAGCCTGGTCGGTCCTTCTTATGATCTTAAAAAGAAGCTATTTTTCTACCCAGAGGGAATGAGTCACTGGACCTGTGGGCCCAGGACCATAGTCCCAGGGAACATCAAGCTCAATTGACATAACATACTACACAAAGCATTGTTCTACATCCTACTTTGGCAGGTAGCAACTAGGATCTTAAAAGCTTGCAAGCAGCTATCTAGATGCAACTGTGGGTCTCTTCTTGTCCAGAGCAAAGAAGAATGAAGAAAACCAAACATTCATGGAAGCAGTTAGTCCAAGGGACTGGTACACCGTGCAGTCCTCAGCGTATACGACTAAGAGACCAGAAGTAGATGGTGCCTGGCTACCACTGTCAACCACTCAGAGGGGGATCTATGTAGGAGATCCTGGATAGAGTGGGAGAGCCATGTGGAACAAAACTCAAAATTATTTAAAAAAAATAAAAAGGGACCAGGTTTGCTGGTCTGATAGAGCCTGATGGAACCCCTAAGACTGTGGCCCCTAGCTGTCCTTCAGGTCTGGAACTGAACGCACTCCTGTGGCTTCTAGCCAAACAAAAGACAGGCATATGAGCTGAACATTTACTGTATCTGTTTACTGTATCTATGTACCAGGTAGATACACTTCTTGGAAAGATCAGTCATGGTAGAATAGAAGGGCTGTATGCACAGGGACATAGCTCGGGTCAGGAGTGCACAGATAGATGGACACTGGGAAGAGGTAGCTATGGGGAGGAAGTGGGAGGGGAGCTGTTGCATTGGGGTAAATTATAGTCAATGTCATGAGACAAAGTGTATGTGAGCTGCTGTATGGAAAGTGAATTTGCTCTGTGAACTTTCACCCAAATCACAATTTGGTGGGGGGGAAGCTATTTTTTAAATCCTTAAATTAGCAAATCAAAATTAAAATTGTGTTACTTAGAAATAATGGGAGACAGAACTTCTCAATAAAACTTACAAGATGAAGTTAAATACATACTCATACCAAAATGTGTACCTAATTAAACAAGAAAGCCAGAAAAAAAAAAAAAAAGAAGTATTTTACTTTAAAAACTAGGAAAAGTGCAATAAAATTTATAAAAGTAAAAATTTATTATAAAAGAATATTGATAGTGGAATTCATAAAACTAAAGCTAGTTCTTTCAGAAGATGAAAAAAGTAAGTAAATGAATCCCTAGCAACTGAAAGAAATCAATACAATTATATGAGACTATTACAAAGCCTAGGAGCTCTGGTAGCATAGTGCCTAAGGCACTTGACTGCTAACCAGAAGGCTGGCGGTTCAAACCCACCAGCCGCTCCTCGGAAGGAGAGTTGGGCATTCCTACTTCCATAGCGATACTGCCTCGGAAACCCAAGGAGGGGTCGCTATGAATCGGGGCCGACTCAATGGCAAATAACAACAACATGCCAAACTAACAAACAAATAATTTTTATTTATATTAAATAAATGCATAAAGAGGGATGAATATGTGTGTATGTGTGTAAGTATGTATAAACTCTTGTTTCTTTAAGTGTGTAAGTTGGGTTTTATTTCCTCTCCTTGTAAGTCTGTGAATTGATGAGGAAAGTTACTATCATGTTAGTATTTTTATTTGTGGATGAATATCTAATTTTTTCAAAGAAACAAAGCATAGTTGCTGTGGAGTCAAAGTGGCACTGTACTTCATAGGGTTTTTAATGGCTGATTTTTTCAGAAGCTGATTTCTAGGCCGTTCTTCTGAGGTACCTATGAGTGGACTCTTAACTGTTTATACCACCCAGGGACTCCACTGTGTGTAGATACAGGGCTATTTAAATTCATAGAGAAAAGTCTGGAAGGCGGTAAAACAAAGTTAACAGGCATTGGGGGAGATAGTTTTTACTTTCTCTTAAAAAATGTTCTTGAGGAATATTAAGAATATTTGAGTATGAAAAAATATCCAAGGAAGAGTAAAAAAGAAAGCATAAAGCAAGATTGTTAAATTAATTTAGGAAATGCTAATTAAACTAGCTTATGACCTTAGAGCTCTGGTGGCACTGTGGTTAAAGCATTGGGCTGCTAACCAGAAGGTCGGCCACTCTGCAGGAAAAGGTGAGGTGGTCTGCTTCTGTAAAGATTTACAGCCCTGGAAACCCCATGAGGCAGTTCTACTCTGTCCTGCACGGTCACTAGGAGTCGGAATCGACTTGATGGCAGTGGATTGAGTTGGGTTTGGTGTGAGTTGTTATATTGATAAGGCAAAAGCATTTGAATAAAAACAAGTTAGAGAAGTGCTGAAATAGTATGCTGTTACTAAAGTAACTAGTATACTGATTTTTTAAATATGCACAAGAACTCTTTGTTTTTGTGACTTTTGGAAAATCATATTCTAACCCCAAAGAGCTGTCAGTTGGATCTATCTTGATACATTTTTTGGGTTTATCAAGAGCATACTAACATTTCAGTAGATGTAAACATAAAATACTGTGTTTAAAGATAACCTAATCCAACAAGTTTATAACTTGCTTTCATTTTGATGCAAGCTGCCATTTCAGGAGCAGTAGACTGCTGAGGAAGAGTAAGCCAGGATGAGCACAGCTGGTGTTAGAACAGCAACCCAGCCCATGCGGCTGGCCTCTGCTGTTGGACTGCAGTATCTGTGGGGTCATGGAAAACTTGGGTCTAACATGAGATAACAAGCATCTCTGGAAAAATCTCAGATGATCTGTGAAACACCGCAGCAGTGTATAGCAGTACCTCGGATGAGGTGGTTGGGCACAGTGACGGGCAGGAACTCTAGTGAGGACCTAATTTACTGGGAAACAGAGACTAGTACAGTTTTAAGGGTGGTTGTCAAGGATGTGGAAGAGTTAAGAAGCCCCCTCCCCCTCATTGATTGAGTTTGCACTAGTGCTTCCTTACCAGGCTGAACAGACCAGAAAACAGTGACTAGACTAAGACCACATCTCCCCTGTGCAGGGTGGCTGACTGCGAGGTTCATTCCAGTATGGCAGGATAGTTGACTGCACTGCAAGTAATGACATTACATCAAAATACAATCAGTTTTTTTAATGATGAAAGGTAGAAAGCAATGTTTAAAATCAGAACATTATGTTCAAGTCTCACTGTATTCATTGCTAATGATAATTGGTGACTAATGATATTTTCACATTTGCCTCTGTTTTTAAAGAGTGAAAAAAAAAAAACACTTTTAAAAGAGTGATTATTATATAAATATGTGGATGGCCAAAGCTAGATCAAATAATATTTTAAGTTCTAAATACTAATCTATTATTTTGTTTTATCATTTTCTTGTGTGTATATGTATATTTCCTCTGGGGATTTCATCATAAAAGGTAATTGTAACAAGTCAAGAGTTAGGATTTTTGTGTCCTGGGCAAATTTATTATATTATTAAATGAAGTTACCATTCATAGTGCATAAATCCATCAGAGATCTTTTGTTAATATATAATAATGATCAATTTTTCATCATGTTATTCCCCATATTTTAGAAAAGACGAAGGCGGATTGACCGAAGTATGATTGGAGAGCCAACAAACTTTGTACACACGGCTCATGTAGGATCAGGAGACCTGTTCAGTGGGATGAACTCTGTAAGTATGTGGGTGGATCATGCAGATTGGGTCGTGGACCATAGTCATACATTGTGAGACTGATATATGCATGTTTTTAATGGTAACACTGTGCTAAATGAATTTATTGACATCAAGTATGAATATATAATGTGAGCATTGACGTGAATGATGAAAAATTATTTTTTCATCTAAAATAGTCATTTGCCACGTTATTTATTTATTACTATACTGTAAGTTCTTGCTCACTAAGCTGAGGATTCGAATTTGCACATACTCCTTTAGGGCAAGGTAGCAAAGATCTGTCATATTGTCAGGCTATGAAGAACTAGGAGTAAGGAAGGAAACCCATTTGTTGTCTTTTAGATAGAGGTTTCAGTGAATTTCAGAACAGATTTAGATTTACTCAGCTGACCTCTTTTATTCCATAATCTTCATCTAAACCCAAAACCAAAGCAACTGCCATCCAGTCGATTCTGACTCATAGTGACCCCCACAGGGTTTCCAAGGATGTATGTCTTTACAGTTTGAAAGGAAGGTTGGGCAATCTGCTTCTGTAGTGATACTGCCCCAGAAACCCAAGGAGGGGTCTATGAGTTGGATCTGACTCGACTGCACATAACAGCAACAACATGTCTTTACAGAGTAGATTGCCTCATCTTCCTCCCATGGAACAGCTGGTGGGTTTGAACCACCAGCTTTCTGCTTATTAGCAGCCAAATGCCTTAACCCACAGTGACACTGGAGCTCATATTTTTTCATCTAAGAGCTCTGGTGGTGTAGTACCTAAGGCATTTGACTTCAAACCAGAAGGCTGGCAGTTCAAACCACCAGCCACTCCTCAGAAGGAAGGTTGGGCAATCTACTTCCATAGCGAGACCGCCTCGGAAACCCAAGGGAGGGGTCAGTCGCTATGAGTCAGGTCCGACTTAACGGCAGTGCGTTTGGTTTGGTTTTGGTAGTGTAGTATTACAGAAGCACCACCAGATGGGGATTCTTGGGGTGACTCTGCCTCACTTTTGCCCTTACGCCACTAAACACCAAGGGTTTCTGGTTCCCTGTTTTTGAAGTAAGCGGGTGTGTGTGTCTACATTATCCCCAAAGTGCTTGGGAACAGAAAGCCAGTAAGGCTTTGTAAACACAAATCGTGACCCATTGTATACTCACTTACTGGACAGCATTAACAACAGACTTCACAAGAAAACAGGAACTTCTAAGATAGGTAGATGGATATCCTGGATACCACAAACAAGTTTGTCACTGCAGTTACTAGGTAAGCAAAGGAATGACATTTGTTGCTTCCTGGAAAGGAAACAGCTTGTTTGTTTAAAATCTGTAGGAAAAGTACTATGTTTCACTTGACTGCTTTTGTGGAAATATAAGAGGTGTCATATTCCTGTCCAAATAAAATTCAATAGCTTTTGTTTCCTGGATCAGCATGGAGTAAAGAAACCAAAGGGGACCCTTTAGTTTTGTTACTGTGGTTATTACATTGTACATGTAATGAGTGGTTTCAAATTTATTATATATGTGGGATTTTAATTTCTTTCTCATTGATAAATGTCTTTTTCTCCACTTCTCTTTTTTTTAAATTTACCTGTATATGAAGAATCAACCTTCTAAATCTTGTTTATGACCCTTTCAGAATTTCCTTTAAGATTCCTATCTGGCATTTTTCCTCAACTAAATGTCTGTGACTGGTGTACTTAATTTTTTTGCTTGCCATAAATTTAGGTAGAATTTTATAACTCTACTTCTCAGGGCTACCATGTCGGCTCCTTCAGCGCAGCTCAGAGGCAGGATCAAGGTGGGACCCCAGCTACTGTAGAGTACCCCCCTGCAGTCTCTAGGCAGCCTTCTCTGCTTACTGAAAGGCATATTTTCTGCAGTGTTTTCACTCTTTAGAACCGAATGTGTCTCTCAGCAGGTTTTTTGTAGTCATCTCATGCGTTAGTTGGTCGTCTTGAATAGGATACTCCGCACCCCCACCCCCACAGAACACCGAGCTCTTGCCATTAGGCAGGGAACGTTCAGTTGCTGTGTGGGTCGCTGATAGTTCTAAAGTGTACAGGCCTGGTCTAGTGAGAGAAACGATGTTCTTCATTGCAATTTAAGTACAAATAAGACAAAACCATAAACAGATAATGCCATTTATCCAGAGCAAATATTTTATCTTAAGTGTTATCTAGCCTTAGGAAACAGGCAGCTAGTATTTGTGAACATGACTTGATGTGTGTGAAACAGATGACTTATACTTTCTTCCCCCTCAAATATAATATCTTGTTCTTCCCAAGAGTACATTCCATACTGACTTCTTGCCCAGAAAAGATTTTGTGACCCTTCAGTAATATAACTCTTCTGTGTTAAAAGTTAGAAACCCTTAACAACAGCAACAACATTGTGTTAAAATACTGTCTATCCACCATCACAGTAATACATTCCATCTCAACACTAACAAATCTGTCCTGAAAGAAGTTGCAGCCAGGATGCTTCTTGGAAGTGAGAATAACCAGACTTCATATCACCTACTTTGATCATTTGTGAGAAGGGACCATTCCCTGGAGAAGGATATCATGCTTGGTGAAGTGGAGGGTCCTTAAAAAAGGGGAAGGCCCTCAACAAGATGGATTGACACAGTGGCTGCAGCGATGGGCTCGGGTGTAGCAAGGACTGTGAAGTTGGCACAGGACCAGGCAGTGTTTTGTTCTGTTGTACATGGGTCGCTGTGAGTCAGCACCAACTCAACGGCACTTAACAACAGCACCGTTAAAATATTGTCTATCCGTCATCTTGATACACATTCCATCTCAGTACCAAGGAGTTTCTTATTAGTATAGAGACTAGATCATTTAGTTTGAAATTGAACAATGTCAATGCTTATTTTCCTTCTTAGAATCTACATCATGTTAAGGATACACGATGTAAAAATACTAAGGTGACGTTGTTTTTGTTGCTTTTTAAATAGGCCTGAAATATCTATAAAACATCTATGAAAGCTATAGAAGTTGTGTTAGGTGGGAAGTTAGTTGGTACCAGGCATGAGGTCAAGTTTGTGCCGCTTAACATGATGCTCCTTATAAAGGGGAAAATAGTAACAGTACTGGCAGCATGTGGCAGGCTGTGACTTCCTCACACTGTGCATTAAATGAGCAAGTTCACTTAAAAAGTAGGCCTATAGATTTCTTTTTCTTAATCTTTCATCTAGAGTAGCTCTAGGATCAGTATTAAATGTAGATGGTGTTGCAGTAACACCTCATTATCTGATGACACTGGAGCAAGATGTTCCACATCAGTAAATCAGCAGATCATTAAAAATGTACCCATTTTAGAGCTAAAACTTTTTCTCATTTAAATTCTTTTGGATCCATATAAAACACATATTTTATGTTTTGCCCTTCTCTTTTATTCAAATATATTCATATCCAGCTTTATTCCAAAAATAACTTGTTGTTGTTGTTATGTGCTGTCGAGTCGGACCCAACTCATAGCGACCTCTCCTTGGGTTTCCGAGGCAGTATCACAACGGAAGGAGATTACCCAGACTTCCTTCCAAGGAGTGGCTGGTGGGTTTGAACCACCAGCCTTCTGGTTAGCAGTCAAGTACTTTAGGCACTATGCTACCAGAGCTCCTAAAAATAACTTAGGCAAGTCTTTTTACTTTACTGATTCAGAATCATTCATCCTAAGCACCTAGCACATCATGCTTTATATGACAATAAGTGCTCAGTAAGTATCTGATAAATTAATGGATGGAGGATGCCCCCTTCCCCCAGCCCCCCGAGTCGTAGAAGTGTGAAGGGCCCTTTGAGCCGATGCCTGTATGATACTGCACTAGACGGCCAGGGCTTCCTGACTTCTCTGTTAGGACATCACCTCCAAAATCATCTTGATTTTTCAAACTATCCAGCCTGATTATCTCATTCTGCTTCCCAACTGCTTCCAGTCTATAGCAATTAAGATTGGAATAGTAATGATACAATAAAAGGACTTTACAGTTTGCAGATGGCTTTACATGCCTTTGTTTCAGCAAACATCTGGTGAGTATCTCTTATGAATTCAGTACTATTCTAGAATCTGGGGCTATTTTAAAAAGTAAGAAAATAACTCAGCATTTATATATCTCAGTCTATAAGAAAATAGCCCAGATATGAAGGCTGATATTCAGAGAGAATAATATTAATATCTAAACCTGTATGACAGTACAAGTCTTTGGACTCTTAGACTCCTTTTGCAGTTATCAGATGATGTTAAGACTGTATCAAGTATGTACATTTTACCACATAGATTTTTAAGATTTACCCCTGACTGGTCCAGTTTCATTCATGCTTCTTTCCTTGTTTCTGATTCTAGTCTAATGGAGATGATCATGTATGGGAGGTGTCTTGAGGTTGAGGAACAGAAAGTTAAGTTTGTATTTTGATTGTTGTTGAAATGTTAGCAAGTGCCTTATGAATTATAAAGCAGGTTTTTCTTTTAGTAACTGATGTAGAGAAAGTAGGGAGAAGAAGGAGTTGTGACCAAAAAAATGTTTCCATTACTAACCTCACCATTTGCCCTTCTAACCCCCCAAAAGTGTAAGTGCACTCTTAAGAAATGCCCTTCTTAAAGAAAAGCAACCCACTAAACTGAGGAAAGAACCTCTTATTTGCATTTGACTTAGTTCCTGACTTCATACTCTGTTTTTGTCTTCTTATAGGTTAGCTCCATTCAGAACCAGATGCAGTCCAAGGGAGGCTACGGAGGCGGCATGGCTGCCAACGTGCAGATGCAGCTCGTGGACACAAAGGCCGGATAGCCCAGGGAGCCTCCCGTGAGTACCTCAGGGCTGGCCTTGCACAGCCAGCACCACAGATAGCCTTAGTTAAGCATTGGGGTTCTTTGACTTACTTATTTTTAAGTTGTGAACTTAATGGAAAAGGCAGAAATAACTTTACTTAGCCATGTCTTTCAAAGGGTGATGCTAGGCAATTCCTGTATTTTGAATATTAATTTTAGGTTGCTCTTTCCTCATAAAAAGGAGCTCAGGTGGTATAGTGGGTGAGAATTTGGCTAATAAGCAGAGGCAGGAGTTCAAACCCACCAGCTGCTCTGCAGGAGGAAGATGGGGCAATCTACTTCTGTAAATATGTACCACCTTGAAAACCCAGTGGGGGTCACTATGAGTCAGAATTGACTTGATGGCAGTGGAGTCTTGGTTTTAGTTCCTCATGAAGAACTTTCATGCTTTAAGGCATCTGGGTGGAGAGGGGGCTTTGACTGAGATTCTGGTGACAAGATGCTTCTATGTGTCCTTTAAATAGACTGTGGGTCCTCTCATGAGTAATGAAGTAGTTTTATATTTTATCACTGATTGATAAGTCTTTTTATGTTAAAATTCACCAATCTCTCATTATAAACATTTTAATTTAAAAAAAAAAAAAAAACAGCTTTAAAAGGATGAATCCTGAAGTATAAAAATAATTTGGACTTTCTCTTGGTCTTATAGGTCATTGTGAATTTCTGTATTATCTCTTTCCATTATTCTTTAATTTTTTTGTCTTGTGATTGCTTTTCTTTTCTTTCCCTTTTTTAAATTGTGAAGAAGAAGTGTGCTGGCGTCTTGTTCACCCCCTTGTGATTACTCCAGTGATACGTTACTGTTCTGCTCTGAAGAAGCTGTTATCGGATGAATACTGCATTGTCTTCAGCTGGCGTGCATGCCTTTGGACTCATGGACAGAGTTCTTTGGATTGTGGCTTAAATTTTCAATTTTTAAATCAGTATGGATCTGATCTTAGCATGATCTTTTTTTGTGAATGCTAGCTAGCACCATTTTGAAATCTGTTTTCCACGTTCTACATTTCTCTTTCCACTTCCAGCCCTCCGCCTTACGACGTTATTGATAAGCAAGGATCTGCTAGTCTTTGTCCACCTGTCACTATTTATGTATATTTTGGAAGGTATGAGACCCACAAGCACAATGATGATCTTTTTGTTCATTTGAAATGTCAGCAGAGTAGATCTCGGCATCCTTTAGGGAGTTGCGCTGTAGAGGAGCCCACAGAGTGCCAGGATCAGAATGTCTTTGCTGCCATGGGCTGGCGATACTGCTGCTATACATAGAGAAAGCTTAGCTGTGGCACCAAGTCACACGGGTTTCACAGGAAGAGGTAACTTGTAGCTTATTTAGAAGTATGACTTTTTGGTCTTTTTGATTAGAATTGCAATAAAAGAAAAGCTTGCATTCATAAGGCATTCATTCTGTTGTAAATGTTCAGTATATTTATTTTGAGAGCAAGGACCTGTGTGATCTGGGAGCGAGCTGCGGTGTGGATCTGAGTGTCGTGGTTATCCTCTCCAGTCGGATTCTGAGCATCGTCGTCCTATTTCTTTGTTTGTGTGCTCATTCTCTTTTATTTTTACTTGTTTTTATTTTATGTTTAATATCTAATTGTTAGTATCTAATTGTTCCCAGTAGCAATGTGTTCAATTTCCAGCCTGTGCTACTAACTACAGGCCAGAGTCTTTGGCCTTTCTGTCGTCCACATATTTTGGGGGCCAGGGAAGTTGCCAAGAGCAACACACTGACCTGGCTGAATCATTGCCGGTGAGAACAATCTGTACGGTGACTTTTTATGGCGTTGGTCAGAAGCCTTTGCTCAGGTTCCAGAATAAGTTTATCCTTCACAAATTGTGAAGATGTCATTTAACATTACACAATCTCAAATATTTCTGTAACATTTAAATCGCATGTCTAGTCCAGCCATGTCTAACTACATTTGGTGGATTCACATTTCATGCATCAAACAGGGCTTCGTTGAGACTATCAGGAATCAGGTAACTGAATGAAGAATTGGATTGAAATAGTGATCCTTTTCTTTTCTTCTTCTTTCTTTTATTTAACCCTTTCCCCTCACCTTGGTCTCAGTTCTTGGGAAAGGTAACTGAACAAATGTTAGGTTATAAGCAAAACATGAAAGCATTTCTCTTACTCTTTTGAAGGTAATTTGCCTCATACTGTCGGCACAGATTATCCTTGTCTTTCTGCAATTTTGAGCCTTCATAGTTGTCAATTGCAAGCACAGGGAGACTCAGTCAGGAAAAACGCCTGGGCTCTTGGGGGTCACATGCTCAGTAATCAAAACAGGTATTTTGCCGTCGTTAACTTTGAAACGTTCATTCAGCTTTTGTCATTAATTCACTGTATGGACAGTGGCTCTGGAATTTGCATGGGTATCATTGCCATTCTGCCCAGCCAGAATCCATTTCCTGCCAGGGACACTGCTGGGTGAAAGCTCTTGGATTGCATTTTATGGGCATTGTCCGCACGATTGCTGGTTAGTCTACTTCTGTTTTGATTTTTAAATTAGCACAAGTTTTGCAGTTCTCACATAACTCCTGGAACAAGAAGGAGTTATGGTCCCTTCTCCCCAGTTTATGATTTTACCTTATTTTATACTTTTTTTTTTCCAATTTGCTATCCTTTTTGCTTCTCCAAGGACCAAATATACCGGCGAGTGTTGGAGGTAGGCCCAGGTAGGCTGAGGCTGGACTCTTCAGCCTGTAACTGATAGGTAGCCACCAGAACTCCAGTCACAGTAGCTGCACTGTGCACACGAACACATGCCAGAGCTCCTGGAAAGGTGCCAATAAATTCAAGAAATAAGAAAACTACCAAAAAATGTAAGAATATTACCCTTGGGCATAAATTTTTTAGGGAGGCTTGAGAATATTTGAGAGTATGGGGGGAGGCAGTTTTCCCACATTATAAGTCGGATTATAAATCTTACAGGGTCGTTTACCACCCAGTAACAGGGTATCTCATTTTTAAATGGACGCTAATTAAATAAGTAGGATTTTCAACTCAGAATTCATCAGGCTGCTAATACTTTGCCAAAATACATGTTAACAGCTATTAAGCAAGGGAAACTGAATGAGGATTTTACTAATCATATGGATTCTGTTAACAGTGATCTGCATTCTGTGGAAGGAGGTACTTTTCTGAGATGCAGGCACAAAGTGGTGCCAGTGAGCATAAAGTGGAAATGGTCACTGTGGGAATTTGGGTTCAGCATATCCAAGGCAGCGTTATCAGTGGGCCTTTAAAAATACTTTGTGAGTATTAGGTTTCACATTTGTTATTAAATTATAGCAGTGTCATTATAGAGAGCAAGTTTGCCTTGATTTTTGTTTAAAATGAGGTCTGCTTACGCCCAGAAGATAAAAATTGACATATTTTTATAATATAAGCATACTTTTTTTGTACATTGTGTTCATTCTTGAATAAAGTGAGTTCAGTGTTGGCTTGTAGATATTAAAAAAGAAAGTATTGATTTTGATTCAATAAATGTTTTCTTTCGATCCTGGTTTGGTTTTTCCTTTCTTTCAATTCACTGGGTTTTTTCTCTTTCAAGGAATTATTTCCCGGAGTTCACGTGGAGCACCTTTTTAGCATTCTTATTGCAGTTACGGCTTCTATCATGCAAAAGTAATTTATCACTTTTCTCTGTACAAGGGCGTTTAAACTTCTGAAATTTCAGTATTTAACTTTATAATATACTTTATAATTTAACAAGTGCCTACTCAGAATGATGGTTGGAAATAAGACTTTTCATAAGACAAATATATTTGTATATGGTGGGGTGAGAATTATTCAGGAAAGGTACTAAAAGGAAGCGGGGATGACATCTTCCTCTGACCTCCTCCAGCCTCACAAGGGGGAAGCAGAGTCAGCCTCAGCCCAAGGCATATTCCTATGAGGCTAGACACGCTGCCACCCTCTAGCCTTTTACCAATTCTGACACCAATTGTCCCTCCGACAGCACTCACTACTTCTCTGCTGGGTTTGAGAATTTGTTGCAGTGGCCACACAGAACTTACAGACAATACTCATGATTATGGGGTTTTATTAAGGAAGTAACAGGCTACAACCCAGGTTCAGAAACACACTCAGGATACAACTCTTCGATCAGGACATCTCCTCCCTGCTATGCCCTCTCTGGCCCTGGCTTCTCGGCCTGGCCTTTGCCCCTTGGGCAAGTGTTACAAAGCTCTTCTAGCTCTGCCGGTACATGCATCTACCTGTGCCCCACTCTGCAGCAAGTCTCCTGCTCAAAGGCACTCAGCTTTCTCGCTCCATGGACCGGGTAAGCCCACCACTCTGTCTCGTGCCTCTAGGTTCCAATGCCGCTGTCTTTCAGCCGGACATCTCTGCCAAGGAGGTCCAACGCAAGGATCTCAGGTCCAGTGGTGTGCTCCACTCCAACTCCAGCTCTTCTCTCTTGATGGCAGTGAGATTCCCCCTTTCTGCCTCTAGGAGGGCTCATTTTAAGCCTGGCAGCATGACAAAACTAACCAATCCCAGTGTAGAGTTCCATGTACTTTATTTACATGGTGCTGCTGACTTGACTGCTAACCAGAAGGCTGGCGGTTCAAACCCACCAGCCACTCCTTGGAAGGAAGGTTGGGCAATCCTACTTCCGTAGTGATACTGCCTC